GATAAGAGGGACTGTCTTCATTTGGTCAGTCGGAGAAGATCAGTGGTGACTAAATCTAACAGACATAGCGACTGAGTACATAGAATGACGTTTCGAAAAGTATTCTCTTATTGTATTGAAGTACGAAACATTGGCTTGTTAATATGCTGGGGAGTGGCTAAGTGGGTAAGAGAGAGAGAGAGAGAGAGAGAGAGAGAGAGAAATGGGGTTTAACGTCCACTCGACACAACTAGGTCATTTCGGGACTAACATATGGTTTAATTTTATTTCAATAATTCGCTTGCCCTTAGGGGTCTTTAGCAGTGGGAACAAACCGGAGGACCCGGAGAAAACCCGCGAGGTTGGACAGGCGACCCTACTCCTTGTCACGTACAACCGGGGATTCGAAACCACGCCAGTCGACTCAATGACAGACTTTATGATACAGCACGTGCATGCTAACCATTCAGCCATCCAACCCCCCCCCCCCCCACCAAGTGGGCAAGAAGCCGGCTCGCTAGTCCGCAGGTTCTGTGTTCCATCTCTGCATTGTCCAAGAAAATTCACCTGGATTTTCCGGTGTGGTTTCCCTTGTCAGTGGTGGAGGACGGGGGACCTGACAAGAACAGCTGTCTATTCGTTCGGATGGGACGAAAAACCGAGGTCACGTGCATGTATACATTGGCATTCGATATATAAGTAGGCCGTACTGATGCTGCCCGAGCAAAAAATCCCTCATAGCACACTGTATGGCGTATGCCCGTCTTCATTAGCCCAGTTGGAGAAGAATAGTAGGACTTTATTCCCCATTTGATTTCATTTAATTGGCTGGGTCTCTATTTGAACAGTAGTGTTGTTTGTTTGACTAATAGTGACCAATACATGCTGATAATATCAAGCTAATATCAACTAACACTGCTTTCTTCACTTAACACTAAGGTACTGGTCGATAATCTTCTCTAGCCTAATCAAACATCGGCTTGACCAACAACATACACTCTAAAAACATAATGTTAACATTGTCTTAACTCAACAAAATAAGCTTCTCTACTCTAATCAAATATCGGCTTGACCAACAACATACACTCTAAAAACATAATGTTAACATTGTGTTAACCCAACAAAATAAGCTTCTCTACTCTAATCAAATATCGCCTTAAAGATGCACTATGTAAGATTTAGATCAAATGTAAGATAGCACACTGTATGGCCAAAATAACGACCTTACATACTGCATCTTTAGGTTATGTAGGGTATCGTATATGACTCCTGGACGAAGGGCCCGATAAGGGCAGCTGTCTAGTCGTTCGGTTGGGACGGAAAATCAAGGTCCCGTGTATACATTGGCATGTACGAATTGGTAGTCGGAATTCGATATAAGAATAGGTCGTAGTGCCGCTGTCCGGGCAAAATTTCCCTTCATTAGTCCAGTTCGGAGCAGAACAGTAGGACGTTAAACCCATTTCATTGCATTTTTAACTAACATACACTCTAAAATTCTGTTACTTAAACAAGTTAATGTAATTCGGTTAACGTTTATTTAACACAATACTTGATATTTTTTTATACTAATAATATGGTAAATTTGATTTCAGTGGTTTTCGTCTACTCTATAATTCCAACTATAACGACAGGTACACATGAGTTATTCAGTATCATGTTTTCGACTAGTACATGTTTATGTCTTCTTTTATTAGCATTTAGTGTGTGCGCGTTGTATCATGGTCTATCACTGAGTCAACATACGTGGTTTCGATTCCCCGGTTGTACGTAACAAGGAGTAGGGTTGCCTGTCCAAGCTCGTGGGTTTTCACCAGGTCCTCCGGTTTCCTCCCACTGCTAAAGATCTCTACTCGCAAGCTAATTTTTGAAATGAAATTAAACCATATGTTAGTCCCGAAATAACATCGCTTGTGTCGAGTGGACATTAAACCCAATTTCTATCTCCCTGGTCTCAAGAGATGGCCACTGTTATCATTCTCGTTATCTAATCAGTTAACGAATCCGGAGAACTAGTATTACTTCCAAAGAGAGAATAGTGTGATGCAATTCATTATTATTAGAAACGTGTGCTGACAATGGAACAAATATGTGAGTGGGGCCACAAGGGAACCCTAACGATGGAATAACTAATGAAAACATGTTGAATCTTACTTTACATTTCAGCCCCTAAATTGCATTGCAGTAGCGTACAGAGGGCTGGGATTGTGGGGGGGGGGGGATGCAGAGGGGTGAAGAGACAGCATTCAATCAAAGAGGGAAATTTGTTTAAATCATGTTTTTTTAGATTTAAATTTATTGCTGTTAACTGTGTTGTACAAGCTGCCTGACTTATTTCAATAAAAATTATATGTCATCGTATATTACATTTGCTAGACCCGACCCTATACTTAAGTCTTTCCGGAATACAATCAAGGAGTTTGGTCCTGGGCACCCTTGAACCCCTGCACACCACTCTGTACTAGGGGAGCTGGGTTACACACTAAACTATATATATGAATTAAATTGGCGAGATAAGCATTGATACTTATATATTGGTAGACATGTTGAAATGTAAATATTTCCAGCAATATTCCTGAATGTTTAACAAGTGTGTGGACATCTTGATGCTTAGATCGACATATTTCTCGTCCAGGGTAAATTAGTTTATTATAGAAGCCATATGCTGACTAACATAGCCTACTGCTCTGGGAATAAACAAAGTGAACATTAACTCACGTGGAACAATAACATCATTAATAATTACTTATATCTTGTGTGAAAATATTTTTTCAACAGTATTTAGTAAATCATCTGGAACGAACTATTTACATAAAAGACAAATGTCATAAATACTAAATTATACCACTATGCTTTGATACATTGTTTTAAAGGAATATATAATTACTGAACTGGGAATAGACATGGGAGGGGCATATCCAAGATTTTTTGCAAGAGGGAGTTTGCCAGGTTGCTGAGACAATGTATCTTTGGGTGGGGGTGGCTGCCGGGTGGGGGTGGTGTATATACAAACACGCTGAGCTTTATAAAGAGAAAAAACACAACACCCCGCTCACATTGTGATTTAATTTCATTGATGCAAGGCATTTATTCCACGTGATATCACATATGTCTATATCATTATCTCATGCTTGGAATGTCCATCGTTTCAACTAATTTTTATCAATCAAGAGAATCATAGTGGAATAAACAGTAGTTGTATTTCAAAGCTTCGTGTCCCGTGGATTATAATTAATGTTTATTTATGAGGACATTTGGACTAGAAATGAAATGAAGTGGGGTTTAACGCCCTACTGTTCTGCTCCTATACTGGGCTAATGAAGACGGACATACGCCATACAGTGTGCTATGAGGGAAATTTTGCCCGGGCAGCGGCACTATCGCCTACTCTTATATCGAATTCCAACTGCCAAAGGATCTTTTACGTGCATTCCAATGTTTACACGGGACCTCGGCTTTTCGTTTCATCCGAAGGACTAGACAGCTGTCCTTGTCAGGCCCTCCGTCCTGCATCACTGACAAGGGGAAACCACGTCGGAAAATCGGGATGAACTTTCTCGGCCAATGCAGGGATCAAACACCCGACTTCCAGGCTAGCGAGCCAGCGCCTTACCCACCTAGCCACCGTGGCTCCCTCGTTTGGAATAGGATTTTGTAATCTTTATCAAACAGTAAATATATTCCATAGAACTGCCCTGTATATATCATGCCTGTCTTGATTCTTCGGAACAACTTTATGTAGCCAATCTATTCAAAATCGTTCTTACCGTTGTGGAATTGTGCACCCGCACAAGTTCTGGGCCCTTATTCAGGAAAACTTAAACTAAGTTACAACCGAAATTTTAAGAAATACTGCAACTTCATTGGATATATGCAAATTGTTTTTACTGGTCAGCCAATCGAATTGCAGTATTTCTTAAAATTTCGATTGTATCTTAGTTTATGGTTTCGTGAATAAGGGCCCTGGGCGCAACTGCACTCTCCCAACAACACCGTTAAGTTATTCATGCTACAACATTGGTTTCGTTTTCGTGCACGCCAATGTGCACACAGTACCTCTTTATTTTTTATCCCATCCGAATAACTCGAAACCACACTACTTGATTCAGTGACAGACCTTATGACCCAAAGAGCACGCGTTGACGAGACGATTCCGCGACCCAGCTCATTGACTGTTGCTGGTGGAGCATGATCAGAAATACGATAAATTATATTGAACAGTACATATTTTATAGTGTTGTTGTTAATTAGAGCACTGCATCTAATGAAACCCGGGATGTCGCACCAGGAGTTGATTGTGGTACAAGTTCTAGCAAGATATGTTTAATTGAACACTTGTTAACATAGCCTTCCGTAGTCCTTGATTAACCAACATAACACAAGAACAATGCCTTATATTAGGTCTACTGTTAGTTTGAGATGATTATACAGAGAAAATAGGGTAGTTGTTGAAATAACACGGGGTGTTCGAAAGTCCGAATGGCCCTTGGTCGATCTGATGTCAAATAGCTACCGAGATTCGTTGATTAATTAATGAGAATATTTCCTTATATTAGATCTTCTGTTAGTTACTGAAATGACGTTGGGGCACTCGAAAGCCCGAATGGCACTCAGTCGTTCTACAAGTCAAATATATACCAATTTCCTCTATATAATGCCAATGTTAATTATTCCACTGGATTACGTTTGCCCATACTAGGTCTAATCGCCGCTCGCCTCCACTTCCCGTTTCTTGTGTAGTCATTATCTGACCCGAATCAGTCGTTCATCACCGCAACTTGACTAAGCCCACTGGACAGCATTTTGTTCTTCTAGGCGGAATGAGTCTTGTTTTAGAAACCACATGGAATTTCTAGACAGAGTCGATCTTGTTTTGTGTGGTAAAGAAGATAATGCCACTGCCCATTATTACTCATTCAACAATAATTTATGAAGATTAATTAAAGATAATTACGATTTGTCATTTTTGTATAGATTCAGATCGAAAGCTAAATAATTCCCGACCATTCTTCTATTTTCAGGTTTTTGAGGGGATTGGTATGAATAAATCTATAGAATAATTGGTAAATAATTTTCTACCTGTAAAGAAGTACAGTTGAAGTTAAGATCGATACGTATTTAATAATCGATCAATCGATTATCATTCAAATGGCAATCGGAAATAAATCTCTTTACCGGACAATTCTCAATAAAAATCTGAATGTTGATAATCAATTTAAGAGAAACGTCAGTAGAACAGGAAACATTTATTGTGAAGAATAAATGACGTATCATTTGAGAAACCCGAATATATCGAGTTCGATGGAGGGCCTGACAAAGACAGCTGTCTAGTCCTTCGGATGAGACGAAAAACCGAGGTCCCGTGTATACATTGGAATGCACGTAAAAGATCCCTTGGCAGTTGGAATTCGATATAAGAGTAGGCGATAGTGCCGCTGCCCGGGCAAAATTTCCCTCATAGCACACTGTATGGCGTATGCCCGTCTTCATTAGCCCAGCATAGGAGCAGAACAGTAGGACGTTAAACCCCATTTCATTTCATTTCATATCGAGTTGGAATCCCGGCTTTGGTTCAGAATTGCTTTTAAGCGCTATTCTTACTTATCAGCGGTTGTCTAGGAATGTCGAGCTAGTCGTTCGGGTAGGAATAAACTGCGATCCACAGTTCCTACTCTTTAGGCCACGCACGGAAAAGGGGCCTGGAAATTTGAGCACTCGGCGTGAGCCCAGAAGAACCCTCAAGCGCTATTCTCAGTTACCAATGGTTGACCAGGAAAGTGAACCTAGTCGTTTCGATGGGACAATAATCCGAGGTCAACCTCGATAAACTTGTGTGTGCACGTGAAAGAGCCCTTGCTATTTGAGAGTTTAGAATGAGACATACATTCAGACCTAATAGTATGTTTCAAATATTCTTCGACTTGTATTATATTTTCAGGCCTAGGGCCTACTCTTAAAGTTAGTTTTAGACTTGTAGCAGTTATGTTAATCCCTCTTAGCCGAGAGAGTTACTCTTGTTTTCCAGTCGTGTTTTCCAGTCGGGTTTTCCAGTTAGGACGATGGGCGTGGCACGAAACAGTTTGTAATCGTTCAGCTGGAACGAAATCCTGAGGTCCTATGTTAGCTTTGGCGTATATAAAGGAAACATTAGCAGAATTGTCTGCGATATCACTTCGGTGGAAGCGGACGTTAAATAAAGCTATTTCACACACACAGAATTATAACTATGAGTAGGATGCAGTGCGGCTGTGCTTTTACTCGGGACCCATGGTTTTCTTCGCTCCCGAACGATTTGACGCTTTTCATTACCAGAGTCTCTGTCCCACACCCGAGGAATTATCTTTGCCAACACTGCGAGCGAACCCGAAATCCCCAATTATAACTGTCAATGATTCTTTTACGTACACGCCAATGTGTACACGGGGCCTCAGTTTTTCGTCCCTTCCGAACGACTAAACAGACTGTCCTTGTCAGTGACATTCGATTATTAGTGAGCAGGAATTCGCCCATTTATCTTTTTTCACTCGTCTCTCAGGATGATAACTCGTGTTTTCCCTTTGAGTTCGTCACTTCCGTTTTTTGAAATCATCATAAAGCCTCTATCGTATGTGTTAAAAAATCATATTTGGAACGTGTTTACCCAGTTCTATCATATAATTGATAATGACTGACACCAATATTGTCCTTTAAGAGCTGAACAGTGGGACGTTAAACCCCGTTTTTCTCTTCCTCTCCTCTCTACATAATAATATAAAACCAGAATATTGCAGAAAATGTTTAATGTGATCCACAACCTACTCAATTTCTTCAATTATCGACAAAAGGTCGGAATAATTTGATTCGTCAGGAAAAGATCCAATTTCAATATAAAACCAATACAAGCTTGGGGGAATTGGAGGAGAAAGAAAATTAGATGGATTATTTGTCGTATGATGTATTATTTATATAAATAAACTTTGGTCGTTTAGGTGATATACTGGTAGATTTCTAATTATAAACATGTCTACAGTAGAGCATGAGGTTATACGTGACAAGGAGTAGGGTCGCCTGTCCAACCTCGTGGGTTTTCTCCGGGTCCTCAGTTCCGGTTTCCTCCCACTGCTAAAGACACCTTCGAGCAAACGAATTATTGACATAAAAAATTAAACCATATGTTAGTCCCTAAATGACCTAGTTTGTGTCGAGTGGACGTTCAACCCCATATCTCTCTCTCTCTCTCTCTCTCTCTCTCTGATGGCCTAGTGGTCTAAAGTGTCGCGCTTCGAGTTCTAGCTGGTCGGTAGCGGATTCGATCCTTTCATCTTCGATTGATGTAAAATTCGGGATCATTGCCTCAGGAACATGCGATCCCCAGTGTGAGCGTTGTACCTTAGAGTGTGAAATAGCTTTATTTAACATCCGCTTCCACCGAGGTGATATCGCAGACAATTGTAACTTAGGGATTCTGGCGCCTTTTCAACCTCGTTTCCTCCAATAAGAAAGACCCTTGCGCATGCGCTGAATATACTAAAGTAAGACCTGGGCCCTGTTTCACGAAATTTTAACTAAAGATAAAATCCAAATTTTAGTAGATACTTCAATTTTGATTGGCTAAGCACTAAAATAAATCTAATATTATCCAATCAAATTACTAAAATTTGGATTTTATCTTAGTTAAAACTTCGTGAAACAGGCCCCTGGTTTTGAGTTCACAAACCATTCCCAGATTTAAGAATTTACTCAAAATTGTTCGCCTTATTTTACCCTTTTTTTAGACATATTTTATTCCCTATAAATGAATGGAAAATAGGGGAACAGGCAAAATGCCTATGTCAGACCCCTATCCCTATTTACAATATACTAATAATGAAAAACAGTAGATACACTATATACAACCAGTACTTAGCTGAATACACCTGAAGTATTAACTTAAACATGCATTATGCAAGAGCTAAATCTGATTATTGCAAGTCTTAATTTAGGCTTCAGATGTTATAAAAATTATAAATTAGATCTTTATTTAAACAACAAGACCAAAATCAACTCTGTAGACCCACGGATGGCTCGGCTACAGCTCGGATTTAAATAGGATTTCACTAATTGATTAAATCAAATATGGGGCAACCTGATGAAAATACGTCAGTTAGATCGAGGCTAAATGATAGAGTGTACTTAGCGAGGCCGCAGTAGAGCGTTTCCGTATGCCATTGAAAACTTTACTTGATAATCGAGATATGTAGGTGGAGTTAACGCCTGTCAATCAAACGATCGGTCAAGGTGAAGACGCATTTCGTTACCATTTCTAGTCAAATAATACAACGATGATAACTATGTTCAGAATAAAGTAATTTGACTGAAATTTTCAATATATTCTTCTTTCATCATCTACTTTTGAACTGTTATAAAAAATCTCCCATAATGTATCTTTAAAATTAGCCCTTTATAGTGTACCAAATACTTCAATAAAAAAAACTAGTCCGTCGATCTTCATTACCAAAGTTGGTGCAGAACAGTGGGACGTTAAGCCTTATTTTATTTCAGTTCCGTATAAAGATATTTCTCGCGTACAAACTGTGTGATTTGATGATATATTTGGACTAAAAACATATTCAGGCTAATCAATCTATCAAACATTTGCTGCAGATCCCTCTCAAAACTTTGTGTTCCCGAGGAGATACCCCAAGCTATAAAAAATTATGTTTTTGAAACCAAGTTTGTCACCTAACTTGATTGGGGGGGGGGGGGGAGGGGGGTGTCAATTTTTCAGAATGTATTTGTCATTTCTTATCGTCCATGAACCATACATATTAAGGCTAGGCCGTCGCGTTGCCAATTAGTGATACCCTGGCATTTTTGTCCAGTTCTTGCTCCGTGGGTGTTTTGCGGGTAATCCAGTATTTTTCTACTTTCCAGGGGGGTTGGATGGCCGAATGGTTAGCACGTGACAAGGAGTAGGGTCGCCTGTCCAACCTCGTGGGTTTTCTCCGGGTCCTCCGGTTTCCCCCTCACTGCTAAAGACCCCTACGCGCAAGCGAATTATGGAAATAAAAATTGAACTATATGTTAGTCCCGAAATGACCTAGTTTGTGTCGAGTGGACGTTAAACCCCATTTCTCTCTCTCTTTTTCTACTTTCCATATACCAAATTTGCAAAGACTACTTTTATTGGAAATAACTACTCTATACATACTTTGGTGACTTTGTATCTTTAAATACAGGGTGTCCCCCCCACCCCAGCAAATTTCTAACTTCAGTGTGCGTACGATCAAAGTTTCAGTTATCTTGCTGGTTTTTATTAAATCACGTTTTTTTTTTCCAAACTAGGCTACACTTCAACTGGCCCCCACGGCGCTGGAGGCAAACTTGCATACGTCGCCCAAAATTATCAATAGAGGCTTTTGGCAAGCGTAAATTCCTGGTCCGTATGGCGTATCCGTATGGATTTTGCGTGTGACGTCACCAATATGTGTGTTTTTCACATACGTGATACGGCACACGCGTACGGTCCGGTCCGTATAACAATATAGACTTTTGGCAAGCGTAAATTCCTGGTCCGTATCGCGTATCCGTAACGATTTTGCGTGTAACGTCATCAATGCATGTGTATTTCCCATACGTGATACGGCAGCACGTATCGAACAGCTTTTATACGGAAAAGGTCCGTATAACATCGTCGTCTTTTTACCGTATTTTTTGCTACTTTTAGACGCTGAAATGTTGCGCCGTAGCGTTTTAATGAATCTATGTGTATCCTACAACACAAAGGTGTATATTTGGTGTGATTTTAACCATGATAAAGACTGGAATTTAATTATTACTTTTGATGAGCTTTTCGCGGAATTTTCATATTTTTCCTGTCTGTCTGCACGCTGGTTGATCTACGTGCTAAATTTAGGGAGGTGGGACCTTGAAAATCTGTAAATGATGAGATTCTATCGTAGAGGGGGATAAAAACTTTCTGAAATGATACATTAGTGAAAATAAAAATTGCTATGAGTCGAAGTCGAGCGACTTCACTTCCTCTTGGAAATTGTGGGCTAGGTGAGAGAGAGAAATGGGGTTTAACGTCCACTCGACACAAACT